GAAGAAAGCAAATGTCACTCCTCTCTTCATAAAGGGCAATGAGGAGGATGTAGAAAACTACAGGTTTGTCAGCCTCATCTCCATCTCTGTGAAGATGATGGAGAAAATAATTCTGGAAATTTTTTCCAAGTATTGAGGTCAAGAAAGTGCCTTTATATTAGCCAGCATGTATCTGCAATGGGGATATCATTTTTGGCAACATAATAGCCTTCTATAATGAGAAGACAAACTTCATGGAAGAGGGAAGAACAGTGAATTTTATTTATTTTTACTTTATCAAGGTTCTCAGCATAATTCCCCTATAACAGCCTCACAGACAGACTTATGATATATGAACTAGATCTGTGATAGGTAAATCGCTTACCCATCAGTTAAAAGGATTTTAACCAGTGCCAGCAAGTCCAGTCACACGCCAGTAACTAGAGATGTATCCAAAGGATCTCATATTGTTTAATAATTTCATTAATTATGTGCACTATAGAATAGTGTGCAAGTCTGAAGATTGCATGAAGGAGGAGTTTCATTAAGTAGAAATTTGTGCTGGCAATTCAGAAGGACTTCAACAGGCTGGATAGATGGGCCAACAGAAAGGACATGAAGCTGAAGAAAAGGAAATGACAAGTCCTGCACCTGGGGAAGAATAAGTCCACCTATTCTTGGCTGGTAGCAAACCAAGTAGAAAACAGTTTTGCAGAGAAGGGCATGGGGGTTCTTGTGAACAGCAAACTGAACTTGAGCCAGTAGTGTGTCCTTTCAGCTAAGAAAAGCGGCTCAGCCTTGATTGCATTAGGAAAAGCACTGCCAACAGGTCAGGAATCTTTCCCCTTCTGGTGAAACACATCTAGAGTGCTGGTTCCAGTTCTGGTCTCCCCAGTATGAGAGACAAAGACTTAATAGAATATGGTCTCTATTTAATGGCCACAAAGGTGATTAAGGGATTGAGCGTCTGTCATATGGGGACAGGCTGAGACACCTGGGACCACCCAGATGGAGAAGAGAAAGCTTAGCAGAAACTGATGGGGGAAATGGAACTAGACTCCCAGTGGCAGCCAGTGAAGGGATAATAGGCTTTGAATACAAGCCAGAATGCAACATATTACCTTTAAATATGAGCAAAAAAGTATTCTTCACTGTAAGCATAATTTTACACTGGAAACAGGGGAGCTAGGGAGTCTCAATCCCTGGACAAACTTCTCTAGTTTTCTCTTTTTTGTACAGGGGCATTGTACTCAAGAGTGTCCAGAAAGCCCTTTCACCTGAAGAAGGCCTTAGACTCAGCAATTCAAAACCTCACTGTTTCTGTGACATGATTCTTTTATGACAAGGCCACAGGCCAGTTGTACTTACTCCAAATTAGCATTTTTAGGATAGAAGTTAATGCATAAACTTGCTTAGCAGGTGTGCATATCAGCAATTTCTGTTGATCTACCTGAGCCCAAATGGCTCAGCCAGTTAGTGTGGTTCAGTATAAAGAGAATTATAATGGTTACCATTGTGTTAGGCTGCTTTTCATTCCCTGGGCTTAACAGGCAGGAGTCTACTTGTGGGAAAATGTCATAAGACAATCTTTGACATAAATCCATCATAAGTTGAACTTGTACCTTCAAAACCAAATCACTACAGATTTGGTCTGTGGTGGTCAGTGTTGCCCAAGGAACACTAACTACAGATCCTTTACCAATTTTCAATGTTTTCATGCAATTTTTTTCAGGTAAGTTTAGTGTAACATATCCTATTTCCACCAAGCAAATCTCCTACAGTCATGGAAAAAAGGAAACTCTTAAGATTTTGTCATATTTTTTTTAACTTAGGAGTAGATTTTGTAAGTATCCGGAAAAACAATACAATGTGTGGTCAGGAAGGAAAGGCATTCTTTTGGCTCTGAGAATTCATGAAAGACAGATCCATGTATAATTGCGAGTATACACTTCAACATTCAGAAGAGCTAAGTTCAATGATACAGAATGTCACTCCTTGAAGAAAAAGGTAAAAGTGAAAGCTGATATGTTTGTCCTCAAGACCATATGTGTTGTTTCCTTTAATTTATATTTCATTTTCTTGAATTCCCAGTTTTCCATCACAGTAGTTATAGAAAGATAGCATTCTTGAATAGAAGCAAAAGGAAGTATTTCTTCAATTTTGTTTAGAACTATATTTTGTAGATTATTTCTAAATATATCCATAAAATTATTAGCAAAATAGGATCGCTATAGATTTCAGCAATGAAAGGCTTGTTGACTAAGTGGGTTGAAACAACGAAGGAAGGAAAGGTTCCTGGTGTCCAGCTTAACCAATCTCTTAATTATATCTTTTCCAAACTTTGCCCAATCAAAATTCTCATTCCAAAGAGAACTTTGTATCATCCAATATATCTGTGTTAACCTACTTATTAAAAAAAAAAAAAATCTAATGTAGCTGATTAAATATTTAAGCCATTATAGAAGGTATGAGAACATGACACTCTATTCCTATACCCAGACCATCTAGGGAAAATTCCAGTAAGATGAGTCAGTGTGATAGCCCCTTTGGGTTGGTTTTATTATTTTTATTTTTTGATTAACCTATTGCTGCAGTGATTAGGATTTCAGGCAATGAGCTAAAGCAATATATTACTAGACTGGCAGTCAATCAGATCACTATCACTTCAAACATCATTTAAGAAGATCTACATTGTTTTATTATTTATATAGCTCCATAGTTCATGGTGCTACATAGAACAAATCAAAGACAGATTCCCTGCCCCCTAAGAGCTTACAGTCTAGGCAAGTACAAGAACAACAGGAGAAGATAACACAGGCAGGGGACAGAGAGGGGTAGTAAATGAAAATAAAGACAATTAGATTACAGTCACATGAAATGCTAATGTTTTTATCTTAGTGAATACAAACTGGGGAGATGAGGTGTTTGAGTAACTTTATTTTTAATTAGAACTATTTTTAAAGGAAGGCCAGAAGAAAAGGGCTTTGAAAATAAATTTCACACTTTCAGACGTGCTTGTAGGAAGGCAGAGAGGCAAGACTGGAAGAGAACAGGACACTAGCATGTTTGAGGTTGGAAAGCAATGATCTTCAAAGCAGGAGAAGCCAACCTCAGCCACCCTTTGTTTTCCAATACATCCTTGAAATTCTGACAGAAACACGATCGCTTCTGTACACCTAGTTCTGCCTTAAATATTATATCTGTACATATTTGGGGCTGTATTGGATAAAACCTTGATTCCTCTTAAGTAGGAGTTCTCGCACTTGTTTCAAAGGAGTATTTCAGTTATCATGTTTTTTGTTTGTTGATGTATTTGGAGACTAAGTGAAGTTGTGTCTGAAGTTCTTCCCACTTTTCTAATATCCTTAACATCAATAAAATAATAAACCACTATTTTATAGCATAATGTTTTACATCTTAGTATGATCTTACCTCTGCTCATTATTCCTTTTCCCTGAAAATATTTTGATTTTGTAGAATATTAGGGCATTTCTCCTATTGAGGCTTTGGATTTTGGCACAATATATTTTCTTCCCTGATAAAGTATTTTTTTCAATTCTGAAATATTAACAAGTTAGTGTAGTAGGACTAAACTGTTATTTTGGGGGTTGTGAACATTCTATGGATGAAATCAGGAAAGATTAATGAACAGAGCCTCAAGTAATAACAAAATGAAAGAAAAGGTTATTTCGAATCTATACTGAATTCTTCAACTGAAAATTGAGACAGAAATTTCAGAAAGAAATATCATATATAAAATCTCCCAGATACTCCCTGTATGTGTCTGTACTTCTGTTTGTATAAAAGGAGAATACCATTAAAAAGGCTTGCTGATGTCTATAATTGGACAAATCCTCATCTACTGTAAAGCACCAGAGATCACCTGATTTCATCCAACCATTTGGCTCATTATTTTCACTACCAGTCCTCCACAAATTACATTTATCAACAACATAAAAGGGGTTTTGTCCTTTTTTTCTAGTTATCTATTGCTATACAACCATGCTGAGGCAACCTGAAGATATAAATAGAGTGTCTTTTGTGTCTTAAAGATGTCTATTTTCATTGAAACAAACATGGGGAAAAAAGTTCTGTTTAATTTTCTCCAATTATCATCCAACAGGCAGTGCCATTTCACTGAGCTATAACTGCTTTAAAACTCTTCTCTAGAGTGACATTTAAGGTCAGTCAGAGAAGCACCCATCATCCTATCCTGAGAAATCAGCAGACTAATTAAGCTGTTTTATGAGACCAGATAAAGCAGTTTTATATGGATTCTGAATCTTCGTGGGCCAGATCCTCTCTTGATTTTTGCTGGCAAGTTCCATCAGTTTTAATGACAGTAGAGAAATTTATACAGCATGAAAATTTTTGAATTTTGGAATAAGCCTTTCAGAAGCCTTTCTAAACAATGAATTTTTCTACAGAATTCAGGATTCTTTTTTTTTTTTATTACAGCAGCAGCAGCAGTAAAACGAAAATGAAGCTTTTGAAGAAATGTGAAGAAATTTAAAGGAATTGAGCCTTTTCAAGTATAAAACTATCAGTAGTATTTTCTACTCTTTTGGGGGTCAGGTCTTTATTAGTCAATTTTCTGTAAATGTCTTAATACAGAAATAATTACTATTGCAAAACAAAGTAACAACATGAGTTAGTGTATGACTGTTGAAAAAAAAAACCATTGTACTACTGTGAATCTGTGGAACCATGCATTTCTAGTCTTGATTGTTAATAAAAATCTCCAGTTACTTTGCATATTTCCCTCAATAATGGAAGGCTGAAATTCTGACCAAAATCTTAATTAAGCTATACTACTTCAGTGATAGAAGTTTTGTTCCTTGGGAAGCTTTGACTCAATAAAATATTTGGGACATATTCTGCATTCACTGTTACTTTAGCTCACAAAAAGCTTAATGATAATTAGTCTTGAGCACTAAGGTGAGAATGAAATCCTGCTTATTTCAACATCCTCAACGGAGAAAAGAAGAATGTGTTTGAATATAATACAGCATTTTATTACATGATTTTACAAATTTTATTGTAAATCATCAATCAAATGCAATAGCCAATTTTTTCCATTTCAAGCCATCATAATTAGGAGTTTTCATTGTGTTATGACAGTTACTCTTTTCCCCTCTGTGTTGCAAAGATTTAACTTAAATATAAATTATGTATGTTTACTCATTTCCAGAAAAATTGCTTAAAGTGTTTTTATTTTCTTTATACTTCAGACAAAGATAACCTGTTCTTTGTTATCACATGAATGGGGATGAAACTCACAAATATAAGAGAATTTGCTTTCTCAGTCCCTGCTCACAATGGAAATGGCCAGCTCAATCTCTATGAAGATTTATGATAACTGGGTAGTAGACACAAACCTCCCATTTACCCCCAAATTTCATTATATAATTTCTACAGTTTGGATTATATATTTCTGTGCCATCATCTTTACTCACCGATGACTTATTATCTATGACTACTTCAATGATTGGGGGGGGGTATTTTAATGTTTTGGGGAGTTAAAGTAAAATTTTTTTCCATGTAAAGACCATCTAAATAATCTTTTTTGGTTGGCATAACATTTCTACATAGTCCATACTATACATTTCTTGTTGAGATACAAATAAATTTACAGTAGACAGAGGTGCAAGATTCAGCATCTTTAGGGCAGTATTTAAAAATGTTATGTCCAGGAACTCACCATAGTCAGGACATATAAGTTAGCTTTGAAGCAGCTAAGAGCCAAATCCTGCAATTATCAAAATGTGATGTAATGGCTTCTGTCAGAAATCCCAGCAAATTCTCTCATCACAAATTTAGTGGCAAGAATCATCAGGATAGGGCACTAAGCTGAAGCTAAGTACCAGTACTGACACAAAGTACTGCACATATGTTGCTCAAATCACGCAGCAAAACCAAACCAACTAAAACTGACATAAATTTAATGCTTTCTTTTTTTTCTTTTTTTTTTTTTAATTTTGTGCATTGGATTCAAACAGCAAACTGAGTGCATATTAACTTCTATCACAATGTGGTCAAGAGGTCTGTGTCTTTTACCATTTACACACAATTGTTTATGACAACATGTTATCAGCTTAGTGGAAACCAGGGGTGTAGCATGGTAAGCAGAGGTGGTAGTGCACCTATTTTTTTATATTATATAACTTGAAAATATGTCTCTTCTAAGATTCCTTTTTCATGATAAAAATAGTTTTCACCAAACGTTGGTGGTGCACACACACTACCACTCATGCTTGGCATCACACCCCTGACGGAAACACATGTTCTTATTTTGTTGATAAAAAGTATTACAAAAATTTCCATACAAAAACTATTTTCATAGAAATCTTGCATTTCCACAAATAAACCTGAACATTTTTTTTTTTTTGGAAAAAAAAAAACTGCTCAAGAATATTGTTCATTTAGTACTGTGACTGTATTGAAAAATGCAGTCCTCCTTTGAGTTCTTGACATTCACTTCTTTTAGGTGACCCATCCCTCTTCCAACATTAGCGAGAATCGCACAGGCTCCATTGAATTCAATTAGTAGCAGGAACAAGTGTTTCAAAACCCATTCAGGCTAAAATGCAAGCCCTCTATGTGTGAAATGCACTGCTTCCCACCCCCTCCCTCTTTTCACAATTATAGAAAAGAAAATCAATTGCTTATATCTAAAGTTTGTAAGATACATTCCTTTGTACTAAGGAAGGTTTCATTCCTCTAAAAATTGGGTCAAAATTCTGGAAATATTTTTGTTGGTTTTTTAGATCAAAGTTCCAACCCAGCTAATTATTTTTTTTTTGTAATTATTATTTATTTACTTAGTTCAGTGTCACAAACAATTAAAAAAAAAAAGCAGGTGAGCATCCTCATATTTATTCTTCTATTCATGGGATTCATGTTTCTTCACTTTTAACATTTCTTCCATCCAGGAAGATCCATCTCCTTGTCCAGTTGGTAGTTTCAGTCTACCAGCAGTTACCAACTTTTCTGTGCTGGGAAGTTCAGAAGAACATATGGTTTCTTGTTCCACTACAGTTCTGAGACTTTACTTTTACTAGACTCCGTCTGTGGTTTGTATCATCTTGGGCATTTATTCTCCCTTTTCTGGCAACTGTTGAACTTCAAAAGGAACCTGTAACTTCTCACTGAGACTGCATTTGAAACCAGCCACAAAACTCACATGGAACATTCATTCATTCAGAATGGTGAAAACCCATGACAAACAGTGTAACCCTGCATAACTTGGTTGATCCATGATGCTTGTGATTCGAGTCTGGCCATTGCAACTGCTGAGATCACAGAGTCTCTAGTTCATAGACACAGCGGCATGAGGTAACTCATTTTATTTTGCACTTGTTGCATATTTCCACAGGAAACATTCTCGCAAGGTTGTTTGGAAAAAAGACGACAGTTTGTGCTTGGGTTATTTGGCTTCCCAGCTCTATGCCATGGTTTCTTTGCCTGGCAACCTTCTGTCGTTAAATGTGTGCATGTTGATAACTTCTTCTGTTTTCACAATAACAGGGGCCTGTGGCTTGTGTTTTAATCGACGCTGACACTTCAGAGACATCCTTAGCTCTTCTACCATGGCACTACAGAAGGACCTCTACAGAAGGAAATAAAGGAACAAGAAAAAGAAATAGCTGTAAGAAATTACTAACTTCAATGTCTAGAAACAGATTCACTGTACTGGCACACACTTGTCATTCTTTACTTTGTCCCAATCTCAAACAAAGCTCAAAACTAATTGCTGGCCTTATTATATGCATCACTGTATATGCATATCACTATTTAATAATAATTAAAATTACTTATCAAACCATGATGACTCAGTGTAAAAATCACCTTGCCTGTACAATTGTTTTTCTGGCAGGTACTATGTCTGGATGCATATGTTACATAAAAACTACTTCAAGCAGATTTTCTGTCAACATGTTAGCTTTAGAGTACAGTATCTGAATGTTACATATCTGTTAGGCATTAAGCAGAATCTCCTCAGCCATATTTCAAAATAATAATTGCATTTCTATGGGATAAAGTGAGAGATCTTCCACAAAAAATGAAGTTTTAGTATAGGAAGTTTACCTAAATTCATCTTTAAACACTGTTAAAATCTAGATCTATTACTGAAAACTGATATTTACTCCATAATTTATATCATCTCTATATAAACACTTTTACCACTATTGATTATCATTTATGGAGTATGTGTTTAAAAAAAAAAACAAAACACAACAGCGATTCAGTTTCATTGATCTTAATGAAAAGTGTATTATTTAAAATATTTATTAACATGTTTACATCAAATACTCAAAGCTCTTTTTCCAATTTGCAGTGCAAGCAATTTTAAAAGTAAAATAAAATCTCTCTATTCCCTCAGTCTGTCTGACTCAATTTTCAACTGCTAATGGTGTGTTGAGCAATTAACCTCCTTCAGTGTGAGAATTGGAGTATCAAATGACATATGGTAGTAAGAAAAAAACTTCTCACTTTTGGGCTCTGCATCATAGTTTAACTTATGCATTTTCCAGGTAATGGAGAAATATACTAACTAAATAATCCCAGAATCTGAGAAGTTAAAACAAGCCTCTGACAATTGCTCTCAGCCAAAGCAAATTTGAGGTGTGGTCTAACCCTTTGCATTTTTCTCTCTTAACAACTAATCTCCAGGCCAGGGACATGATCAGGAAAAAAAGGCAGATGAACAAATGAAAAACAAACAACCTGTTGAACAAGAACCAAAAAGCCAAAGCACCTAGAATTACTCTAACTATCTCATGACCATTTTTTGATTTTGTTTGATTAGTGGTAGTCAATATATAATTGTCTCATTTGGCTTTCAAATAAAAACCATGCTTTATTTCTGAACTGTTATATCTTCATTATTCATACAAACCTGAAGCTTGGTGATTAGATCCAGAAAATATTTAAACATCTCACCCTACCTAGTTCACTGAGAACCTAGATTGAAGCTTCATTCATGAAATCTGCATTCAGCTTCCAACCTCCTGGGCTGAAAACAGGAAGGCACTCAGCTTTTCCCATTAAATTTTACAGCTTTGTCATTTGGCGATAGTAGAAATTCTGTGAAACACATTGGCGCTTGGCTTAGTTGTGGATCCTATTAGAATTCACATTCCAGTTCTCCATGCATGGTTATCAATCCAATAGGTATGCTCTGAAAGGAACCTAACAAGCCAAGTTCCTTAAAAAGTGTGGCAACTGCTAAAGAAGAATATGTGGCAGATACCCTTTTCTTCAGTGCAGCAAGCATTCAGCTGGAGAATTAGGGCTGAACATGAGTCACATTTAAGAATGTCGATATAATAACATCTTCTGCCAGAGAGATTTAAGCTTGTGTCTCAGTAAACAGCTATAAATAACCTACAGGCATTAGACCATTCCAAGGTAAAGTCATTTGCAGTTGCTGCTTACTAATCCTGTTCCACTTGGCATGGTAGCAGTTAACAGAGGCATAGAGAGAGAAAGGGAGACAGGGGAAACTTGAGCTGTTCTGTAGATTAGGTGTGAGACCACACAGCAGCAGAGGAAAGGCTTCAGTAGTAGCTCCTGTTTCACTGAGAACTTTACATAAAGTTATTATTTACATAAAACTATTCACTGAGAATAGTTTTACATAAAATTCCATTCCAGAGTGCAAATATGAGTTATCTTAATTAGGAATTAGAACTGAGCATGAATCCAACAAAGCCTGAACAAATGCCCTCTTCCTTAACCCTTTGCATGAATAAGGAAATGGGCAGGTAGAAAGTGAAGGAAACTATAATCTTGCTCTGGGTGTGATACACTTCCTTTGAAGCATTTCTTTCTCCTGCTGAGTTTGAAATAAAGGAATAATTCCTACTCAACTTACAGCAGAAATGATTTTACCACCTACAACTAAGAAAAGTTTAAGCTGTGAATCCAAAGGGAAGGTATATTTCTCTGGTTCAGAGTCAAGTACGTGTCCTTCAGAGGCTAAAGTTTGGCATTTCTGGCTGAAGTGAGCTCTGCAATATGCCCTGGGTTGACATCCAAGACAGCTTTTTTTTTTGTGTGTGAATGAGGTGGCTAAAATTCCTGATTGAATGGTCTCAATGTAATATGTCAGATCTTAATGCATAAGGTATTTTTGCTGATCGTTGTGTAGAAAGTAGAAAACTGTACCTCCTTGTCCTGATATACTTTGAAAGAAAATATTCAATTCCCTTAGACTTTCCCTTTTTTCTAATAAAGTGCTGTTGCTTAAGATCAAAACTGCCATTATGATTCTGAAATTGAAATTAACCCTGAAATTTTTTAAAAGGGCAAGACTTAATTTAGTATTCCCTAATAGCTTACAGGCTAAATTGCTAAGGCTTGAAGATCTTGGCATTTCCACTATGTGAGGAACCTAGCACATAGCTCAGGAATTTCATAGAGAATACATTAAGAAGTAAATGGTGCAACTCAGCGCTACACCACTGGTAGCCATGATATGGCTCACATCTCTGGAATTAAAGACCTAGCTTTCTGAGGAACAAAATCCCTCTAAATTTTACAATGATGCATTAGCTCTTAAAACTTTAAAGATTGTGTTCTTTTCTTTTTTTTGCCAAAGCATCTAAGAAGAGTGCCAAATTAGAACAAATCCTTTTCAAATAGAATCAATCCACCAAAACCTTTGCAAAAATCTGCAAAGGGTATTAATTTTTAAGTAATATCAGCAGGAAATGGATTACAACCAACATCCAAGAGGTGAGAAGATACATGTCAACATTCTGAAATTCTCTGAAAATGATATCTCAGTAAACTTGACAACACATTTTATCTGATAATTTTACGTGGATATGAAAACTTATTCAAAGGGAAATGTTTTAATGAGTGACAGTCTTAATAAAGCAGATACCATAACTTTGAGAAGGTTATTTTATATATTCTTCCATTTTATGTTTTCAAATTATTTTTTTATATTTTTTATGTGATCTAGTATGCACATATGGGAATAAAAGTATTGGTTCTGATTAAGACTATTGTTACATATCTTCTGTTTGTTTGTTTGCTGGTTTCAAATTTCACTCACTGAAATAGTAATGTATTTTAAAAATATAATTTTAAGGTTATGTAAGATTTTATGATTCAGACCTTTTTTCTTTGGGTTCTCTACCTGAGAAATATAAGGAAGAGTTTTCACACATATTAATAAAGTAATATTCAATAAATTTTAGAAAATATTTATGGTTTACTTTTTTAATTGAAATTAAAAAAAAATTGTCTAATTTCAATGCTGATCTCTGTAGTCTTTATTTTCTATACAGCTAAACTTTGTTTTCTTTCAATGTTAGGATACAATTTTTTGAATAATAAGACATGAAAACTAGAACTTCTTTTTTTTTTTTGTAACAGAAGACATTTTCAGATGTGATTTTAGAAAAGATAATCCAATGTCTTGATCCTTTCTATTCAATTGCTAAAGGAAAACAGCATAATGTTTACAGAACTGAAAGGCTACATTTCAAAACTGTTGTCCATCATGGAATTGAGCACTTTAGTACATATTACAAGACTCTCCACTTAATTCAAAGAAAATAACCTCTTGCTCCCAACTTACCTTCCACACTGCAGGCATGTTACAAGAACATCAGTTACTATCGATTTTTCACTAACCCTTACAAAATCTTAAGTTGTCTTCTTAAATGCTACCAGAAAGTAAATGCTGCCTCCAAGCCATCTTAGATATAATCAAATGCTAGAAGAATTTAAGGACATCATACAGCTCTCTAAAACATAGTACACATAAGTGTTTCTGGTTTGTTGCAGCATATCATGATAAAACATTACAAAAAAGTGTACAAAAGATCATTTTAATCAGAACTGTAGTTCTAAACCTTCAAACACAAAACAATTCTGAAAAAAGTTCATCTCCTTAAGACGAATAAAGAAGTAGCTGACACCTCTGACAGTCTTTGCCACAACTGACATCTCACAAGTCATGGAAAATCAAGATGAGAATTTTGAAAAATGTTACCACTGCTTATAAGCTGGTTAGGCAGCTTATGCATGGCTTTACTGCATGAGAAAAAAAAATGTGGTTCTGCACACGTGTATTAATAAGAAAGGTAGATAATACTTACACTGCTTTCATTATTTCGCTTTATGGGAATTCAGAAAGGTAATTAGAAATCATAATAGCATTTGTTAGACACATAATTATGAGACTATCACCATAGATTTTTATTTTAACAGCGTAAAAAGAGCAACAGGAGGAGACAACAGCATGCTTGCACCTCTCTAAATGTTCTGATTTAAGTGATTAATAGTCAGCGTGCTTTAAATTTTAAAAAATCTCTAATTGCTGGTTTATATTTTTCCCTTCTTTGATGGAAATAATATAAAGATCACTATCAGCATTCAATAGGAGGATCTAAGATTTACTGAGAATTTCATTACTTCCAGTTTTGTCTATCAGACATTACTTGAAAATTTGTTTAATTATCTTAAACCAGTAACAGCAGTAATCCTGTACTGTCTTGTTGTGTTATGGGTAATTGTTCTACCATCTAGGAGGACACAGCAATCAAACTGCTTTTTGTCTTGAAGTTAGCTGAGAATGAATGCACAGTCCTA